AATATATATATATATATATATATAAGTTGTTTTACATTATTCAATTCAAAATAAAAAAGGAAAACTACTAAAGACTTTGCAAATAAAAGAGTAAAATTAAAAGTAAAAACACTACTTAGGATATTTGGTAAAACTTCAAAAGTAAAATTTTTTTTTCTAAATTTAAAATTTTGTTAGAAAGATTAAAAAATTAATTTTTAAAGTAACTTTCAAATAAATTTTGAGAAAATCATATATTCAAATTTTTTCTAAACTTATTTAAAAACTTATTTTTAAATTTTTATTAAACAAAATTTTATATTTATAAAAAAAATTTATTTTTTAAAATAAATATTTTTTAAACTAGACCAAACACCTTTCTACTTTTGCCTGGGCCAAACCTTTCCGCGCGTGAGTACATATGAACCTTCCCAAATAAAGTGAAGATCCCAAAACAGAAGTTACGGGCGTATCTAATTTGTTAAGAGGTTTCACCATTCAATGGGAAAAAAGAAGCTCAGTTGAACTTGAAGTCTTGAACCCCATGTGGCCACCAAATGAATTTTTTTATACAAAGTTGACGTATCTTCTTTTCATGTTACTGTTCTGTCAACTTTTGGAAAATCAATACTCTTTATAATGTCGAATGAGTGATAAACATGGTGATGGAGTCTCTTTCTTTTTTTGGCCATTTTGTAATGAAGTGCGATTTTCATCTTTTTTTTTTTCTAATATCTAATTATGATTAATGAAAATATAATTTTTTTTATTAATTCTTTAATTTCTATATAAATGGATTATATTTGATCATATCAAAACAATAAACTTAATATAGTGTTTTAGAGTTTATTTTATTATATCAACGATTTAAATAATTCAATAATAATTTTTTTAATAAAAGTAAAAAAAATAATGAATTTAACTCACATAATATGCAAGCAAGATAGATTTAAAAATAAGAAAGGAGTATTTGTTATTATGTAATTTAAACTTTAAAAAAAAAATTCTATATAATACCATGAAAAAAAGCTTGTTTTACTCATAATTGTCATAAAATAAGTATATATCAAAAAGATAATTGGTTAAAGTCCCTTGTTCTATAGTTCGGATTGTACTGAACTATAAACAAGGATTATTAGATAGGAGAATGTTTCTAATATTAGAGAGCTCATCACTCATTCAATAGTTATAGTTATATAATTTGGTATAAATCAAATTATATAATACTTTTTTTCAATTATAATAAAATTCAAATTAAAACCCATGATTGCCCACGAGTTTGAAAATTTTAAATTGCACGTCTTTCATCTTGTGGGGAGGAAGGGGTCATATAGACTATAACTCACACTCAAATGCATAAAAACAGAAAACAAATTTCAAACCCAATAAAACCTAATTACAGGACACCCATTTCTTGCATCCAATACTTAAAGGGGTTTAAGAAAGGAGAAAGAGTAGTTCAAACTTCAAAGTACATTGAAGCTATTGCTTTCTTCATGGTCTGATACACAAGAACAAACCTCCTCCGTAATGGTGCTTGAACATGATGAAGAACATGAGGAAGGCAAGGGGCCTACATTACTTCTTTCTCTCCTTATTAAATCAAAGAATCCAGGCTCAGAAATTGCAGCTTCATTGTTTTTGTCATTCTTGTATGCTTGAAAGGTCTCCTCTTCATTTTGCACACTTCTTTTCTTTAAAAATATGTGGCAGAGAACCCAATCTCCGATTTGATTCGAATGATTCTGCATAAAACCAAACAAGAGCATTGGCATTTGATTCAAATGCATTTTCTCTATTATCGTGTCGTGTTAGCTTAAACTGTAACAACTAAAAAAGAATGGAGGGAGTTTAAACTTGCCTGGACTGAGTTGTTTGTGTGTGGAAAGTTGAGAGGAGGGGTAACAAGGCGATATTCATGCATGAACCAGTAAGTTCTAGACCCATGTCGAGGCTTTCCCCTATGGAAAACCAGAGTCTTTCTCATCCCCACCATTTGGTTACTTCTTGAAGAAACAATCTTTTTATCCACCCCAGTTGCCTTCCAGTAACCGGAAGCAGTAGCTCTATTAATTCGATTGCCATTTCGATACTTGGTTTCCTTGTTACTAAAAAAGTACCTCTCTTGCTCAAATTCACCTGCAAAATACACAGTTCATGAATTGACATAATCTCCCAAGTCACGAAATTAGTAATTTGAGGCAAAACATGCTATATATATCTTTTGGACAAACCTGGTAAATTCCAAGGATCATACTTGCAAACATTGATGTCAGGAATGATGGAGGCAGGCAATGGAGAGGAGAAGACTTTGCATTTCAAGTACCGAAAGGTAAGTTCTTCATCTGTGGGTTGGAAGCGAAAACCGGGAGGCAATTTGGTCATGCAATCTCTAACAAAATTGAAATTTTCCATGTTAATTTGAGAGAGTCTCTAATCTAAATTATTAGCTCTCTGTGAAATGGAAAGCGATAGAAAGAGAAAAACCTGTTAAAGTATATCTATATATAGAGTGCATGCGGGAGAAAATGAGGGGTTAGGTTTAGTGCGGCTATTGTAGAAAAGAAAAAGCAAGCTGTACTTTATGTTAGTGGGTAGTGGTGGCAAGGTGGGGTTGGAGAGATCAAAACAGGGGTATGAGAATCTTATGCAGTTTTTTCGACCAATTAATTGAAGAATATATCTTCCTTAGAAGGCACTGTTATCACAAGCAAGTAAAATATTAAGGTCATTAAAATAATATAGAATATTGTCTTTAAAAATATTACTTTTATTTAATTTGATAGATAAAAATAGCTAATAATGGTAATTATTAATTAAAAGTAAATAGATTAGTTGATATTCATTAGTTTATAAATTAAAATTAGTTAACAAATTGATATTTTTTGATACTATTTAAGAAAAAAAACTGAATATTGGTGGCTCTAACACTTCTTATGGTTGTTTGAATTATTATTATTTTTTTGAAATAGTTGATAATTGATAGTTGATATTTAATGATTGATAATTATTAATATTTATAATTTAAAATATCTAATGTATTTAATTAAAATCAATAACTGTTTTTAAAAATTGAAAACAAGCACCCCTATAAATTCCAGTGAACAATGTGAAGAGGAAATTCGGCTTTACCAACACAGCCTACTACACGTAATTGGGGTGGTGAATAATTAAAGAGCTGTGAGAACAGAGTTTGTATGTTTTATATTTCCTCATTGATCGAATCATTATCTTGCAATTATGTACTCACACTGGAGAGAGTACATCAAAAGGAGATCAGAGATCCCTCCAGAAAGGATAGTGGGGTAGGTCAATGTGAGGTCTATGTGATGTCATGCTTATTTTCTGTGTATGGAGGTGAATACAAAACGTTTTGATAGTTGAATCAATAACTTGAGATTGAATCCCATAGTAAGTAGAATTCGAGTCCAGCACTTAAGGGTAAGGGAGCTGCACCTTTCTTAAAACTAGTAGTCAACTGGCTTCCTAGGCCGGAGCACTTTTTTTTATGGAATTGGTGCTTAAATATCAAATTAATTTTAAGGTTTGTATAGGTAAGGGAAAAATGACTTACATTATTTTTATATAATGAAATCTTATAACGTGAGAGTAGTTTGTTAACAACAACAACAACAACAATAATAATGATAATAATAATAATAATAATAATAATAATAATAATAATAATAATTGTTCTCTTTCATATATTTAGTGATTATTCGTAATAATAAAGATTCCCTTTTAAGATATATAGATACATCTGAAATGTTTCTTAACAGATTTTATTCTATATATCTAGTATTTATTTTGAGATTTTTTTTATAATAGTACAAGTTAAGGTACTATAATAATTAATAAATGTACCTTTTTACTTGAATTAAGAAATAAAAGGTAATCATTTTTTATTTTTTAATTTATTTTATTTAGATGTTATGATTTTTTGCTTTTATGAAAAGAACATTATTATTAAATTATTTAGATCATTAGTAATAAATTTATTTTTTACTAAAAAAAATAGCACTTGACTTTAATTTTATAACTAATCAATTAAAATCATATATGTGGTATTTGTGCTAAAATTAATATCAATTTTTTTACTTTTTAATAGGACTTAATGGTTAAAATGTGTACTTATTTTAAGCTATGCTCTTAAGACATAGATTGGAAAAACCATACTCTAAGATTGAAACAATTATAAATTCGATATTCCATGCAAAAGCAGTGACGACTCAATTGATATCAGTTTCAAACATAATGACTTAACGAGTAAGGTTTTTCAAAATAGAGCCCTAGTTAATCTATTTCTTTAATCCTTTACTTCTTTTAATTCCCCCGTATGCATGTATAATTCTTTTTCTATTTTCTCTAGGAAAAACCCCTTTTTAACTCTTAGACTTATCCTAAATTAACACTTGAACCTTTGAACTAAAAACAATGCAAATAAGTTCTCCAACCCTTTGAATAATGCAAATTAGTCTTCAAACCCCTTGAAAGGTGCAAATCACCTCTCACTATTAATAGCCCAATGCATGTGACCTCAAACTTTTTCTTCTTTTCCTTCACACGGTCTTATTTTTTTGCGTAGATGCTCACATGGATTAAAAGACCTTTTGAGCAGTAAAAATTTTGCCAAAATGGTACACATAGCTTGAGAAAATTAGAGAAAAAAAAAAAAAGAAGAGATAGTGGGTTATTTTGGTGAGATTTTTATGTCTAACAGGTCTTTTGATCTATGTTAACATATTCATGAAAAAGTGGGACCAAGCGAAGGAAAAGAACGGATAGCATAAGATCATATGCATTGGATTGTTAATGATAAAGGCTGAGTTGTATGTTGGTAAAATCCCTTTTGAGGGATTTAGGGGCTAATTTGCATCATTTGAGGGTTTATTTACATCATTTTAAGTTTAAGGGTTTAGGGGTTAATTTGGGATAAGTTTGAGGGCTTAAGAGTGTGGATTTTGCCTTTTCTTTACACATGTCAACTCTAAGTTTAAGCCAACTCTTTCGGCCAATCGCAAACCGCTCCCATCGCCTAAAGGAGCAGTAATCCTTTTAGCTTTCCGACGTGGCCACATTTGAATTCTTAACACAAGATGACACATAAACGCCAGTTTTGTGCATGTTCTATTGAGGAAAAAGCTTCTTTAACTTTGTGAGGGAATTGGGAAAATCATGTTATGGTTTGATTTTGAGCGGAGTTGGGGGTTGAAAGCAATGCCTTTTAAGAAAAAGCAGAAACCTTAGGAACAACAAAAAGTCAAATTAAGAAGTAGATACTTGATAGATTAATGTCCTGAAGTTGGACATGCACTTGTACTTTTCTTCATTGTGAAGATATTCCTTTTCCTCTTTTAAAAGCATGCACCCAATTGTTCAATGGGTAGTGCTGATATGTTGCTTAAGATGGCAGCAACAAAGGTTATGTTTTTGTGAACTTTTGAGTGTGAAATCCTCTTATGTATTTATATATAGTGCTGGATTTTATTATGGACAATATCTGCAGCAGAAGGGCATCTTTAAGTTTTGATATTTTTCTGCTCAATTTTTTATACATAAATTTAGGATTCACTTATTATGATCGGGGGTTTTTAATTTTTAATTTTAATTTTTATAAATTTTACAATTATTGAAAGTGAAAACTAAAAATAAAAACTAACAATTTGTTTTAGATGAGTTTTAACATTAACAATAAAAAAACATAAACTTGTTTAACAATATTAAAATTATTTTTGTTTTTATTTCTCTAATAATCATAATAACATATTACAAAATACAAAAAGTAAACGATTTTCAATTAAAGTTACAAAATTTATAAAAACCAAAAACCAAAAACTAAAAACTACAACCATATTAAATGAAACTTTAAATGGTATTTGTATACCTCTTTCATTTAATAATAGTAGCCCTAGTGTGACTTTAATTTAAAAAAAAAAAGGTAAAAATTTAACATAATAAATAAATATCAATTGAAACTTTGCTTTTTCACATATATAATTCTTATTTGAGAAAAGGAAAAATCAAGATGTTATAGTATTTAAAACACCAGTGTAGGTTTTAATTTTATTAAATTTATCATGTAATTATTATTAAACGTTTTAACATTTTAAATATCAAAATATCTTAATTTTTTCTTTTTCCTTCTCATTTAATAGTTTTACTTGATAAAAAAAATTTAATTAATATTCATTTTTTTTTATTATTTTTTAGTCTAACAGGTATTCCTCAACCTTTTCTACTGAGATTAGAGAATTAATGACTTCATTGGCTTTTCAAGGAAATGGAACATTAGTTTTACAAAGATTGAAACCAAGGATTTTGCCTTGGGGAAGTTGCACTCTACCCCAACGCAACTAAGTAGGGCCTGGCCCAATCTTTCTAGTCGGCCTAGTTATGACATTTCTCTGATCTCCTTTTTATTTTTAGGGTTTTGGAGAACTTCTCCTGAGACAGAGAGGGAGGGTTTTGGCTTCTAAGTCCTAAGTCCTAATTCCACAGTATCATCGAAATTCATCCTCCTCCAATGGATCCATCAGCCCTTAGTTCCCCTGAAATGCAGCAATTCCTTAACGTATGCAATATCTCCTCTCTTTTATATTTTTCATTATCTCTTTGTTGGCGGCAAAAGAATTATCTCCTCTCTGATGTCCAAATTATCTATCTTTTGATCACTATGTAGAAGTCGCAGTATGGCATTAGACTATTATTTAGAAGAAGCAAAAGGGTCTTAATATTTGTACTTAGTTGTTATTATACTAAAGATGCATACTTTAGATTTGGGTTTCTGTTTGTTACTGGTTTCATGCAAGAATCAGTTCTATTTTCTTCACCCTTTGGTAGAAATTGTCACAAATTATGTTCTCCAGATTCTGACTTAAGGGTTTGAAAGATAGTTATATTTTGAGTTTTAGGGCCTGTTTGTTCTTTTTAAATGAATTGTGCTGTTCTATTCTTAAGACTAGTCTTGTGGCTTCTTCAACTTCAGAAAATGTGTTTTCTTCCTCTTTTTGATAACCCCCCCAAAGTGACTCTCAAGCTCTGTAATGCTGTAGGTTTTTTTGGCCTTCTCTGTAATGCTATAGTTATATGGGTTATTTTCAGCTTTTTTTTTTTTTTCTTCTTGTTCTTTAATGGTACTAGATTTTGGGCGTGGCAATGAAGGGTAGGGCTTTAACTATGTCGGTAATGAAGTTGTTTAAGTGACTCTCGACTATGTCATTAACAGTGTTCATAATCTTATATTGATATTGGTTGTTTTCAGCCTCTTATGGTTTTCTAGTCTATTTAATTTAAAGTCTGGCTATGACAGGGCCAGAATGGCGGGGCTCAAGATGAGTTTAGTTCTAAGTTGTTAGGAAGTTATGACTGCTCAAAAAATAAAAATTTCTTAGGAATTATGTTTTTGTTATTATCAGCGTGTGGCAAATAAATCTGAGATTGACATACCGCATAGAAAGGGGCATGGAAGGAGGGAAAACAAATACAAGGAGGTTTGTCTGATGGAAGCCCCCTCTTCCCCCGTGTTTAGTTTGTGTGAGAACTGTTAGTTTTTAACATTTAAAATATTATGATTTATAGTTTTCAAGTAAAGTTTAATCCACATCCCACAAGGCCTACTTTGAATGGCAGTAGACATGAGGTTTTACAAGGTTTCCCTTTTGTAAATTCATGTACCTCCTCAAGGGTATAAAGGAGGTGTGATAGACTGATAGTTGAACCTTGAAATAGTTTGAACATTATATTTGCTTATTGCTACTGCTAGTTTAAGGCAATGGTTTGCCAAAATATTGACACTTTAGACTGTTTTGTGGCTGTACAGCAAGAGAAGGAAAGGGCTATGCTCAATGAAATGGTCTCGAAGCTTACAGTCAAATGCTGGGACAAATGTATCACTGGTACCCCTGGGAGCAAATTCAGCTCAAGTGAATCAGCTTGTCTTTCCAATTGTGCTCAACGTTACATGGATATGAACCTCATTATCATGAAACGCTTTCAGTCCATGCAGTGAATTTCAAGGAACACTAGCATTCTGTCTATGGTCACAGAATGTGACCCCTTTTTCGTTCCTAGTTATCTTT